GGATGTAAACACACGCGTAGGCCCATGGTGCTCCCTGACGAAGGTGGCCAATGCATGGGGGTCATGAAACTTCAAACCCAAATGGTCCATACTTCAAGAACCCTAAAGTTTACGCTTCTTACTCTGTTCCAACATGACACTTGCGGTCTACAGCGGATCGGATTAACACGTCCATTTTGCGTGGCAGGTACAGCACGGTCAGATTTCCACACCCGTTTAAATTTATAATATTTATAAGGCTTTCAGGTGTGGAAATCTGACCGCAACTGAGGTGTCGACATGTTGCACGTAGGATTCTAAGGGGAAAGGGTTTGTGATGTTTTAGAAGTCAAGAAGCGCAACTTTTGGCACCCCAGTGTATAGCGCACCAAGTCCTTCCAGGTATGGACCACGCGCTTGATGGTAGCTGCCTCGGTGCGGGCACATAGCTTCTCCAAGCGGGAGGCCCAATTGGCCATGTATTCATCTCGTCGACCAGGTGGTGGAGGCATCAACGTTACCATAATGCCCAACAGATCACGAATAAACAGAGCGGCGACTCCGCCCTTCGCATCAGCCGGCTGGGCTGGCTTCTTCTTGGGCTTGACAGGCCCAGCAAATGAAGACGGCTTTGGACGGGCCACCGAAGATGAAGGCAGCGAAGGAGCCGGAGCACTGGATGGTTGTGGCGGGCGAGACTGGCGAACGGTCTCTCTCGCAAAAAGGTGCCGAACCGGGGCTGCCATCCCCGGTTCGCCCTCACGGCGGGCGAGATCCCACCCATCGGCCACTGCGCGACCGGCTTCACGAAGTGCTTCCTCGTAGGAGGTAAACCAAAAAGCCAAGTCGCTTGCACTCTGAATCCCCATCCTGGCACACCAGGAATTCAGCTTCTCCTGCTCAACCGCGCGTCGAGCATTTGCGTCAGCCATGGCTCGCGCACAAAAAAGAATCCTGCGAATCAGCGACTCTGATTCACACGGAGCGACACTCCTTTTTGGCTTGAGCCTCAAGCTGAAAGGAGTGAGTGAACTGAATGACATCAAATAATTCCTCATCACCGACCCTGCCTACCTTGAATGAATGAATACAATTCACTTGTTGGAAGTGCAGGCATTGAATTTAGATTTTAAATTCACTTGCTAGGGGTGCGCATAGTGAATTTAGAATTTAAATTCACTATGCCAAATTGTTGTATGTGAATTTTAATTTGAACTCGCTTTGAATAATGTTGTCACATCATGCTCAGTCTGAATTTGCTGCAGGATGAGTGTAGATTGCCTACATCTTCACCACCTGGAAGATTTGAGCTGCTGGTATCACCAACTGTTGCTTGAGGCTTTGCGCTGTAAAAGTGTGCCTTCATTGTCAATGTCATTGAGTTCTTGGACTCACAGTTTGTTGTTTAGCCCAATCCGTCAACTTTATTGACTTCTGGCTTTGGAACATACAGCCATGACTTTGGCTTTGTTTGCAAGCCTTTGAATTGGCTAGCCACATTATTTGGCTTTACATATTCATTGTTTAAGTCAGTTGGTTGGCTGCATTGTAGTGCTACATTCATTGGCTTTGTATATTCGTCGCTTAAGCCAGTTTGTTGGCTGCATTGTAGTAAATACATGAGAATATGTCTTATGGTTGGTGAAGTTGCCAAGTTGCAGCTCATTGCTGGCCCAGTGTCAGCTGACTGACAGCTTCAGCTTTAGTGTACCACCCATGCTGTCAGCTGATGATGTGGAGAAAGAAATGCAAGCACTAGCTGGCCTCATACAAACCAGAAGAAAAACCTTTCCAGAAGAAGAGAATTCAAGCCCCAGAAGCTACAGCATTTGCAGAACTACCTTGTCCAAGAAGAATGGAACATCCTCCAGTCACATGAGACCAGCTGGATTGCCAAATGCAATTGCATTTGCAAAAGGTGGCGCTTACTTGGCATCAGGTCCTTGCGTGAACAAACATGCAAAAATGCATGCGCATTGCTTCTATGCCAGCTTTCCAAGGCACCAGACAGCACTGTTTGCAAACAGATGGTCGGTGATCCGAAAAGCACCTTTCATTCCTTGCCAGCCAGCGCTTTTCTGGGCAGGCCCTATCTGCCTTGCCAGATGAACTGTTCAAGGCTGCCTATTAAAGGCAGCAACCCTGTGGAAAGCAGTTCGAATCTATGCAAGCCTTGAGTAGACTTATCCCACTGAGGAAAACAAACAAGTGCTGTTCAAACTGCTGGCGAACAAAAAGGTCAGCAAACAAAGGCAACACCACCAGCTGCTCCTGGTGGATCTTCATCTAATCAGCACAATCACAATGGCTTTCACAGCATGCAAATGATGATGATGAATGCTGTTGCCAATCTTGTGCAGACATTTGCTGGGCGCAACTCAAATGCAAAGGCCAGTGAGCCTGGCTTGGCCAACTTAAAGGTGTCACCAGCCAAACAAAAGGCCATTGCTGATGGAAGTGTGCAAGCAACTGCTGCTTCTTTCAAACCAAAGAACAGGGAGCTTTGTGCTGGTGAGAAGCCTGAGGCATCAAATCAGGCAGAGCTTCCAGAAGTCATTGGAAAAGACAATGGCTTGTCAGCAAAGATTGCAGTGGACTATGAACAAGAATTGTTTGATGCCCTGAAGGCCAAGAATGAAAAGAAAAGAGCACATGATGAAACAACCAATGGACCTGCGAAAGTCATGAAAAGGCCAGCAGGAAAGCCTAAGGCTACTTCCAAAGCCAAAGCGAAAGAGAAAAAAGAAGAGCTTGATGTCCCACCCTTGTCCCAAGAAGATTTCGCATTGAAGAGAAATGTCTATGTGTCCAGGCATTATAGGAAGGCCAGGGCATTTGCCAGAAACAGCCTGGGTATGACAGATGAAGATGCCAAGACATATGCCAGGCAGTTTCATCAACAGGCTGGGCTCATTTGGGACGCAGCAAAAAAGAAAATTGGCCAGTAAAGGTGTGGCAATGGGTGCAACAAAAGCTTTGCACCTGCTTGGCTCCTTGTGAGTGCAGTGGCATACTATAGCTAGGTGAATAGTGAGCTCATGGCGCAAGTTCCTTTTCAGGAGCCAGACTCTCTCAAATGTGTGGCTTTCAGAGCACCAAGTTTTGGAAGCAAAATTGCGCTCCTGAATGTTGCCCACTTGTGTGCTTGTGAAGGTTTCATCAAACTTATATTGTAAAAAGAAGCCTTGTTTGCTGGCTATACCAAGCCATGTTTGTTGGCTTTACATGGCTGCAATCGAACCACAAACTCTTTGCCTTCTTTTTAAATCATTGCTATGATTGCAAGGGTCAATGGCCCAAGCATGATTTGTTTTCATTCTGGTGCTTCACCTTCCCTATGGATTCCAATGTGGAAGGTGAGAGAGCACAAAAAGTTGCCAGAGTCTCTCAAATGAGCAGGTCATTACCCCACATGAGCTCTTCAGCTATGGCTGCCCTCCTTAAAGACATCAAAGACAGTGGGTTGCCAGCAGTCATTGGAAAGAAAAAGATCAAAGAAGCTAGAAGCTTGGCCATTTCACAAGCAGAAGGCCCCTTTGGCCCTTTGGTGCAGTCCTTCAATGCCTTCACCAAAGATGGGACAGCAATTGCCATTGACATCTTGTCACCTTTGGTTTTCATTTCCCATGCCTACAGCCAGCCAGGTGGCTTGTACAATTTATTGGACAAAAAGGTTTCAAGAGAAGCCATGCACAATGGATTCAAAGTGGAAGTGGATCCTTTACAGCGATGAGCTGACACCAGGGAATGCACTTGGTGATGCTCGAAGAAAAATCCTTGTTATGTATTACAGCTGGCTTGAACTGGGAGGAGTCCAATTGCAGCAAGAGCTGTGCTGGTTTCCCTTGCGGGCACTGAAATCAAGTGTTGTGAATGACTTGGATGATGGCCTGTCCCAGTTAACAGGCGCTATCTTGAGGCACCTGTTTCTGGAGCCACCCCACAAAGCGCAGGATGGTGTGTTCCTCAAATCTGCAGGATGGCTTGGCCCACAAGAGTATGTTTGGGTGTAAGGGTGACACTGGAACAAGATGTTGCTTTATATGCAAAAACTTGATCAGTGAGAGATCCTCCCTGCAACAGGATGGTGAAAGCCTCCTGATATGCAAAATGCACCAGCCAGAGTTTTTGCAGAAAGCCACAGATACTGACATCTTCACCACTATAGACAGGCTTGTGCACAACAAGGGCATCATGTCATCAGCAGACTTCAAAAGGTGGGAAATGGCCTGTGGCTTCAACTGCAGCCCAAGAGGGTTGCTCTTCCAGGCAGACCTCAGGCCAATTTTCAGGCCTGTAGCATGCTTTGTGCATGACTGGAGGCACTGTGTTCTATCAGATGGAGTGTTTGCTACCTGCATGAATGCATGGCTGGCAGCTGTTGGTCATGCCAGTGGCCTTGACATGTATGACAAACTGAGTAGGTATGTACCATTCTGGTTTGCGCCCAAGCACCAGCCAATGAATTTGGCATTGCTTTTCAGCAAAAAGAAGAAGAAAGCAAATAAGGAGGCTCGCACTTTCAAGTCCACAGCATCTGAGGCGTTAGCTCTCCTGCCAGTTTTGTGCTATTTCATTCAAGCTGTTCTGTGGCCAGCTGATGTGGGAACACTGGAAAATGCAGTGCCCTGGCCTGTGCTCTCAATGCTTTTTGTTTGTCGAGCTCTTGTTTGCAGTATGAAGCAAACTGTTTCCATGCATTCCCTTGACCTGTGAGGTAATGCTTTCCCTTTGCTCTATTGAATTACACTGCTCCGGAACTTGCTCCGGAACCTGCT